ACATTAATTTCTTGACGACCTAATACCAAAAGTTTGCCAAATTTCATGAAGATATGGATAGTAAATTTGGAATTATGGTCAAAGTTACTTCTCCCATATGGGGTGGGTCCACTGGACTGTCATTGACTAATTGGTTTGTAGGGTATTTGTACAAAAAAGTGCAAAATATTGTTATCAAAAGAGTTCAGTCCGAAATTTGAGTCTTTGCTTTTTCGTACTTACATTAGGAGTGTAATAAGTAAAGTTTGATGATATTAAACTCTTGGGTATTTGTAGCTGTGTTGAGGATTATGATGTATTACAGAATGACTTGGATTAATTGCTAAGTTTAAAAAATATTTAGCATGTTTGATTATGGTAAGTGCAAAGTATAATGCACTTGGATTGTCATAATTTGAATCATACATTTAACAGATGAGGATCCACTCTTTAGCATGACTGAAGAAAAAGATCTTAGCAGTCTAGTGATGGATGAGTCACACACTGACACTATTGACTCAGTGTTCTGTGGCTATTGGTAATGCTAATAGAATTTTAAGCTCTATTTACTAATAAGTAGTTCATGAGACCTTTTGGAATACTGTTTTTGGTCTTGAATAAACATTATTCTGCAAGATGTGTAACAACAATATGGATAAATGATAACAAAGAATAAACTGACACATCTAAACGAAAACTTTTTCTAGTTTATTTTGTATGACGTTTTGAGCAGATGCCCTTCATCAGACAGTAAACACTGTTACAATGGAATTAGCCTAATTCCATTGTAACATGGACTTTACTGCTTGATGAAGGGCTTACGCTCAAAACGTCATACAAAATAAACTAGAAAAGGTTTTCATTTAGATGTGTCAATTTATTCTTTATTATAATTTATCCACAGTTTGACCTTCTTTATATAAGAAAGGATGTTAACTTATTGGAAGAAGTTCAGAGAAGAACTACTAGGAGGATTCTAGGAATGGAAGGGTTAGTTGATGAGGATAGGTTAAGATCTTTTAACTTACTTGCTATTGATCTTTTTCTACTATATTCTAAAGGCAAAAGGATGAGGAGACACAAGTTTAAGATTTTGAAAAGATAGGATATGCTGCAGTTAAAACAGTTTTATTTCTCTAATAGGGTGATTGACTTACCGAATGAGTTACTGTTGGCTGTACTGGAAGCCAAGCCAGCACTTCACAGGAGATTAATGGGGAATTAATATCCTGAAAAATGAAGAGTGGGTTTAAATTTTATGTTTCTCAGGGATGAGTGTGTGAGGACAGCTGTGAAAGATCACTTGGTCCCTTGTTGTCTCTCCGTTATTTATCACTGCAGCAATGAACTTTGGATAATCAAGTATAATAGATACTGTACTTCTTTAAAAATTCCCCAAATTTTGTGAACATGTCTTTCTTTTTTTAACTATGTGATCTCTATACTGAAATGAGATGTTTTCGTTGGCACGTAGCCATTTTGTAAAGCCTACATATACTACTGCTGTTTGTAATGGTTTTTGCCCAGAATTATTGTGAAAATTATCATTGGTTCAAACAAGTATTTATCTGGGGAAAGGATTTTTGCCTTGTTTTAAGTATTTTTTCATAAGCTTATGGTTTCTTTCTCTTGTATATTCATGTTCAAACAGTTATGAACTAAATTTGATCAGATTCAGGAAGTAGAATTTTGTGGTAGTGCATGTAAATATCTTAAAGGAGGAGGGAGATCAATCTTTTTTTATACTGTGTTCCTTATATTTTGAACATGTATGCATGTCAATGTTCGTATAATCAACCCCTTCATTAATTGTAAACTTTTTAAAATTATACTTGATACTCCCTTTGGGCATGACTTATATTTGAGAAATTCTGTTTTAAACATATATATATACATATTTTGCATCATAAAAAAATAAAAATAGCATTCCCCAGAAGAGACAGTACTCATCAAAATGATAATTCTTAATGCTGTAATATATTAAGTACTAACCTTGAGGGAAATGCAGAAAAATATTAAGAATTTGGTTTAAATATTCTTTTTGGTATTTCATATCTTGTAATAAACATTCTACTGAAAGTTTTTGGAATATAAAAGAATAAAAGACTTTTAAGATTTAGTTGTATTCATAACTTTTAAAACCTATAACTTCTGAAACTTTTTTGTTTATCATACCACATTAGAAACTTGTCCAGACTTAGTTTTCAACTCCTGATATGGTCCATACATCTAAAGTTTCTGAAAAGAAACCACAAGGAGTCTATGTGTTAAAAAATGTTTGAAATATGTAGCTCAATGAAGTGACCAAAAACTCATTCAAATACATAATGGAGTCATAAGGTTGCACTGTTAAAACAGTAACAGGAAACACAGTTGTGTTTCAAAACCACTTAATAGAAACATAAACAATTTACTTATGAAAGTGAAATAGTTGAAATAAAACTGTTAACATTTTGTCTCACATATTATATGTAAATAATATTTTAGAAAAAAATTTTGATCCATTTCAAAGAATTTTCAGGAAGAAATGTTTGTTTTGAATTTTGCACAAAGCTACACAAGGGCTATCTGTGCTAGCTGTCCCTAATTTAGCAGTGTAAGACTAGAGGGAAGGCAGGTAATCAACACCATCCACCGCCAACTCTTGGGCTACTCTTTTACCAATGAATAGTGGGATTGACCATCACATTATAATGCCTCCATGGCTGACCATCAGATTGTGAATTGAGCACCCTAACCACCTGGCCATGCCAGGAAGAAATGAAAGAACAAAGCCTATTACGCCATCTTGGCAAAAAGAACTATGTTTATTTTCATACATGCACAACTGGAAACAAGGATATTAGCTAATGTGAGACTAATTGATTAGTTGAATATAACTGATTAATTAGCCCAACAATTAGTTAGCAAATTTTACTAATTGACTAACTCTACATAATACTAAAATATTTTTTTTCAATATGGATATAGATTTCATCTGATACACCAGATGCAGACCAAGCAGAAAAAACTATCAGAGTTAACTTATTTGGAACGTTATGTGTTTGCAAGACATTGTTTCCAATCTTGAGACCCCATGCAAGGTAAATACTATAATAGTGCTTTTGTGTAATTAAAACTGAAAAATTCAATATATATATCAAGTTGTTGAAATAAACTTATCTATGAAAATTAGGTACCATAAGTTTTATATACATATAAAACTTACTTTATACTTTTTATCTGTAAAATAAATAAATATATACATACATGTATATCTTACAGATAAAAGGGGTAAAGAAACTTTAAAAAGCTATGAAAATATGTGGGCAAAATTAGAGGTGATAAAACCTCTGCTTTCTAAGTATGTAACGACCAGAAGAATAATATTTGCTATAAATGATAGTATTGGAGGAAAAGTAATATATTTACAGTTGCTAAAGATAAACGAATAGTTCTGAAAATCAAAACTGTTGTTACTTTAATCTTAATGGAATATGAAAAGTGTAAAGTCTCTTGTAAAGTCAGACAGTTTTGTATTTCGAAAAGTGCAGGATTTTAAAAAAATAAGCAAAACGAACTTTCAAAAAATACAATATTTCTATGATGATACTTGATTTTTATTATTAAATTTTATAGGGATTTTATTACAATAAATTGAACTTTATATTTAATGTGAATTTCAATTCACAAAAAGCATTAGAAATTACAAAGCTTAATCGAGTGCAAACGTACATAACTGAATGTATGCATGTATGAATTGCTTTTTATCACTATTATTTCAAGTTGAGTTGATCTTGATTTTTGGTCTGTGTACATAATTGTTTAAGTACAACTGTCATTTTGATATTATTGTTGCGTCAGCGAGGTCACGTGACTATATCACACCACTCCTTCTCTCGAACCTTCGGGAATTGTCGGGAGATTACTAGATATAGGGTAGTCTGGTATATATAAGATGGTCACAACGTGACGGAATCAATGTGTGTAGGTAGTGAGTAATTGATCTGCAGTCAGAGAGTATTGTTGAAGTTGAGCACGTTCGTTGTTATAGCGCGACTGTTGAAAATAAGTGTATCGGTAAAGTTATATTCAGAAAGAATAAACCAGTTTTATTAAGAAAGGACTTGTGTCGCTAAAGTTTAGTCGGAAAGAATTTACGGAAAAATTATTTAACAAACGGGGACGTAACATTATAAATCAAGATAATCATGTTATCAGAACTTAAGTTATAATTTCAAAATATTTCAGTCTTTTTCTCACTTGCACTTCCTCTAAATCAAATGTATATTTGTATTTTAAACATGTTTCTTTCTGTTTTAATCAAAATACAACTTTTGTTGTCACTGACAAAGCCATAATGTCAATTAAAAATGTATGATGTTTTGAAATTCAACTGCTTAAACCTATGCAAGTTTTCTCTGCTATTTCAATGTGTCCTTATGATACAGAATGACTGAATCTAATGTGATTTATTGTACAGAAAGTCCTAATATTTGCAGGTTGGCTCTGTACTTATGTACAATATTAATGAAAACAAATTTATTTCAGATTTAGTGACATTTTTATGATTTAGCTTTGTTCATAAAACAGTGCTGCTTGTTTATAGACTACTAGTAGCATACTTGTTCAATGCATTGGGATAATATATGATAAGGGCCTCCAAGGGTGACATAAGGGGTTAGATCCAAACATCAACCTCAATATAACTTCCAAAGTGTCCTAAGGGTATGCAGATGGTTTGTTGATAATCAATCTAGAGGTTTGCCAGTTATAAACAGGCACACACACACGTTAATAAAGTTTGGAGATGTCTTGAATGGGTAATGAAAGAAACTTTATAACAAGTAACAAATGTAAAACATTTTGATAAGCTTTTGTCATCATCAGGTACAAGTAATTTACATAGACTCAGGAATATATATATACAGAATTATATATATATACAAAAAGGTCACATTAACAGCTTAGTAAAGGTATCTTGGTACCCCAGGATTTTGTTTTTAGAGTAAGACTTTTTGGTTTAATTAAGATGGCTTCTTTTATTTTGTGTTTGTTTGTATGTGAGTTGCAATAATGGTAAACATGTGAGGACTTTTTATTATGTTCAGTGAATTTAGTTTATATTTTTTTCCAGCTTCTTCAATGTAGAATTCTGGACAGTTATTACACATTATTTTATAAGTAATGTTGGTATCTTGTGATTCATCATAATTTTTATTTAGTAATGGTTTTAGTTTAAAGTTGAGTTTTTGAGTGGATTTGAAGTTGACAGTAATTTGACATTTATTGGCAAATGTTTACCATGTGTGAATTATTTTTGAACTGATTTCAAGGATGAATGGTAAACTGAAGTACAATGTTGTGTTGTTGTTTGGTTTATTAGTGTCAATTTTGTTTGTGGTTTGAAATTTGAGGTTTTTGTTTTGGTGGTTGTGCGAGAATTTTTTGACAATAGCTGGTGGAAATTTATTGGTGTGAATGAAGGAATGGTTTATAAGGGTGAGGGTAATAATAAGCTACTATAACTTTCAGAATTATTCAACAGAGTTTGTTCCATAGGACCCGATTGCAATACCCTTGCAAAGGGGGGTGGGGAAGTGTAAAAAAGTAACCTGCATATTTCATGTATGGTTTGAAAGCCCAGGCTATGTATCTGCTAAGGTTGCAGTTGAATGAATCATAAGTGGATAGTATAGGTCATATGAGACAGTTGTATTTGTGTGGTATAGGAATGCCATAGAGTTGTGGTGTGCGAGTCAGTGTTTCATAGATGAAAATAAAGATCTTCAGTAATTAAATTATCTTTCTTCATTTATAACAGGGTTTTTCAGTTGTTTTTTGTGTGTGTTTGTTGGATTGTTTGGAATGGGTTTGAATTTCTTTTTATCAGAAAGGATGGCATTCATTTTGCTGATATATTCTGCATTGATCAAGATTACAGTAGTGTTGTCTTTGTCAGCTTTTAGAATTTTTAATGTGTTTTTCTTCAGATTATAGATGTATTTCATCTCGTTGCTTGTGAGATTACTTTTCAGTTTACAGGTTTGGTTGATTGTTTATGGTATTGTTGTAGAATTCTTTAAAAAATTGTTATAATTTTGTTATAATTACCTCTCATAAGTCTGATGGCTCGGGTCCTGAATTTTTTCTTGTAGCTGGATGCTGTGTAAGGTGGAGGTAACTTTTGTTCTTTTATGTTGTGAATCACTAGTCTTCTGGCTAAATCTTTTAGGCTGACCTTTAACTTTAGGCTAGGAATTGTCTTTGGTTGATGGCAAAGTTGAGGCCTTTGTTCAGAGGTTGTAGTTCAGTGTTGTTTAGTGTTCGGTCCAATTGGTTGATGACCAGATTAGGTTGTGCATTATTGTGTTGCCTATCACATTGTTGTAGTTTTCTCAGTTTTTCAAGTTTTTTGTGTCTACATTTCTTCTCTTGATTCAACATTAATTTGGTTTGGTTGATGCCATACTCATCTGATTGGAGGTAGCAGACAAGTTGGGGATCTAATTTCTGTTTACGTTTTTGTAAGTAGAGTAGTTCTTGATATTTGGAATTCAGGGCAGCTTTTAGAAGTTTTTGCTGCATGTTTTGAATAATACCTGTAAACTGGTTCAGGCTTTTGGATAACTTGACTTTTACAAATTGCAGAATTAACTTTTCAGAGTGGCATTGTCTGAGGAAAGAAATATCATCTCTCCTTTTGATGATTTATATATTTATCTAGCAAAGTTTAGAGATAGTTTCACAGTATGATAGGTCTATGGTGGTGGACAAGTGAGGGAGCATACTAGAAAGATATATGTAGGATAACAAAGACAAACATTTAGACATAACCACAAGTAATTGCTGTGATTAATTCAAATTTGATGAGGAGGAACCCACTTTTAGAAAATAAAGTTTACTGATGATAAAAGCTTGTTGAAACATTATACTTTTAATAAAGATTATTTCATTGCCCATACAAGCCTTTTCCAAACTTTATTATCTAAAAGTGGATTTCTCATCATCGAATAACAATCAAGTTGTTATCAAGGCATAGCATCTATTAACAGTGAACTCTTCATGTATTCGTTTCATTTAAAATAAAATCCAACTTCAATAATGAAGAATGCTTTCTTTTTGTTTTATATAGTTTATATGTATGTAATGTTTATATTTTATTTAGTTTTGTTGGCAGCAGATCATTTTATGTTAAATTCCTTTTTTTATTTTGTATTTCTATCTGCAGTTACATGTAATTATGGTAGAATGTTTATGAATCCATCATCTCTCATTTGTGGTTATTTATATGGGTTCCTAGTTATTTTATGTAAACTATTTTTGATTCACTTTG